AAATTGAGATAATATGTTCTAAAGTTTGTTCACACTTACTAAAAATAATATATTAGTAACTTTTTGGGTGTTGATGGTGTTATATTATATATAGGTACAAAAAGTATTATGTACTAAGAAACATTATTATTAATTTATTTGTTTCATGCTAATCTGAAAAGAAAAGAAGAAAATAAAATAAGAAAAAACAAATATTTTTTTTATAATATTTAAAAAATATTTCCTTTTGCTATGAAATATTTAGCAAACATAAATATTTGGTAAATATTTAGTAAATATTTACGTAATATTTTGTGCTATCTGGGGAAACATTTAAGCATCAAAACGCGCTGAAAAAACTGCGAAAAAACGGTGTTATTTAATAAAATTAGGATTAACAATTTCAATGTAATTTTTGGAAATAAAATATTCTAGATACCTCTACCGGTTCTAATATCTATCTTCTTAGTAAAAGCAATAATAGATCTTTCCGATTGGTTAGTTAAATCCCGTGCGGAAAAACATGAATAAAATTAATTCATAAAACATTCCTTTAAAAAATATACGACATCTAAATTAAAGAATACAGGGTTTTTATTGCGTTTAATGCGATTTCTGAAAACAATCAATTTAAATTAAAAAAGGTAAATTTTTTATTAAGTCGCGCTTATAGAATTGTTCGAATACTGGGTCAATCAAACATACCATGTTTAGATTTCGCGAAATTGAAATAAATATTAAGACTTTTCGGATAAATGTATAGGTCAATAAAAAGTTTCCGTTTAGTTCTAAACTGAAAAATATTTCTTTTTATATATGAAATAAACCGAATTAACTTGAAGCCCAAACATTATCGTGCTACGAATTCTAGGTTGTCCTACGAAGCCCAAACAATTTTGCCCAAATTGACCTGAAATCCTTCATCAGTGCACACTTGAAAAAGACGCATCAACAAAGCAAAATAATACGTTTTTAAATTTATTGGCTTACTTAATATAAGAAAACTCACAGGAATATTCAAGACGAAAAGGTTTAATAAACAACGACTCTTCGTAAATGTTGAATCATTTTCCACTTGACCAAAATTAGTTTACATTCCAACATTGTGTTAGAAATCTAGAATAGTATAAAAATGGTGTGGTAGTACCATATAAAACGGTAATTTTGTTACATTTTTAGTATAAAACTCAATACACTAATTCTCAATGCACAAAGAACTACACTGTTTTGCATCAAAATTCGTTATTTTACGGTTAATTATTTGTTACAGAATTACTAATATATGAATGGAGAGTTGAATAAATTTCTTGCGTCTGTTTAGTGGATATTCTTATGGCCCTTTACATAAAAAACATATTTGCTGAAAAAGTAAACCTCTATTATTTAAAGCATGCTATTTTTGAAAATGTTTGCTGCAATTAATCGCTATGTTAAAGGGGCTAAATTATTTTTTAATAGAAAATCTGAACCGTCAATGTAATGAATAACAATTATATATTTTTTTTACAGAAAATAAATAATATAATGAACAGAGGATAGAAGTGAAAATACATTGAATAAGAGGCCCGCAAATATTTAGCAAGTTGGCAGTATTCTTATAACTATAAGTAATTACATATATTGTCATATTATTCATACTAAAGCAGAAAATGTTTTAACACTTCTTATCAATGATCCAGCTCTTTCTTATTCTCCATTCTTATTAGTTTTGTTCAACAGCGGTAAACCTTAGTTACTGTTTTGATGTTCGCAGACACTTATCCCATAAACAATCAGCATTCGGAACCAGCATGTGTAAAAAACAATGAAATATTGACCGACTAAGCGAAAGATTCAGACAGGAGCCATCGGTATTAAGTTACCCTTTCTGCTAGAGTAACTCAGAACCCTTTCTCGGATTAGGGAAACCAAGTTTTAAACCGACTAACTTTCAAATTGATCACCTGCTTACCTAACAACAAAAACGCTTTTGGGAAATTTGATATATTCTTTACTTTTCGTAAATTTAATCATTGATTATGTTTTTGTATATGGCTTGGAAACAAATGTCTTTTCAATGTGGTCAAAAGGTATAAGATAAGGGCCGTTAAACGTTAAATCGTCCGTATGCAAGAGTGAACAAAGAAAATATGCTGACATTTTGAAAATATTTATTTTTAATTACAAAGCTATTAAATTAATGGATCATACCCACCTAGACAATCTTGCTTTTGTGTTATCTTATATCATATAATTCAGATACATATATTTATATCAAATTTACGACCGTATAATGTAATGATGGTAGTGAACAGGCTTTAAAACTGATTAAAACACAAGTTTAAGAAAAAATCCGTAATTTATAGGCAAGTGTAAAAAACGGCAAAATATCATAGAATATTTTGAAACCAGATTCGTTTAAAAGCTTTTTAATCTTATTTATACTTTACTGATTAAATATCATTTGTAATTATTATAAAAAATAGATGTAAGAAAATTTTCTATTTTTCTATTTTCTTTTATAAAGGAAAGCAATGAATAACAAATGAGCAAATCGAAAATCGTAAAATATCCAAAATTGCCATAACAGCCGCAAGTTAAAATAAATAAAATTGCTACGACATACATTTAAATCTGAAAAAACCATTAGACTGAAACTGTAATCAATATTTATTCAATATTAAATTTTTTTTTAAATTATATGCTTAATGTTTTATATTTCATAATATGTGATTCACAAAATAAGATATTTAATTAAAACCAGACAAAAAACCCAGGAAACAGGTAATACAGTTTTTATGTTGCAATCTATCTATAATACAAGGTTACTGAAACAATGCCATTCAATGAAAATCATAGTTTTTTTCTGAAAGTAGGAACGTAAATTAAGCATAGTAAAGTGACTGTCTGTATTATTCACGATAGTAGCCGAAGAGTTCGTGCATGTATTGTATTAAAAAGTGATATAATTTCTGATCACTTTTTATGTAAAAATGGAATTTATACAGATAGTTAAAGGAAGAACGATGCCCAAAATTGGATACGGGACATGGAATGTGAGTAGTTTCCAAATTGTTGCAACTTTACTTCCTTACAATTTCCAGTTACTTAAAATTACTCACATTTTGCTTCGTTTAAAAGTAAATTGTAAATAAATATGTAATACTAAAAACGTTATTGTAGTTGTTTATAAAATATTAAACACAACAGGATGAGTAAAGCAAAAAACAACAGAAATCGCGTTTCTAAAAAGCAGCAAATAAAAGTGAAGCGATTCGAAAGTGATACTCAATGCGATTTGAATAAATAATATTTTTATCCTGACGTAATTACACACTTGCATTAATCTCACATAATGGATTTGCCTGCACACTGAGTCGCAAGTAAACAAATGTTGAAATCATTTATATTGATATCGGATTTTTTTCAATAGTAGATACAATGAAACGGAAAACAACTTTCATGGCTAAACAATGTTGTCAAAACATTTAATAATTAGTGAATTATTAAGTAAATTAGTTCTAATTATTATATAAAAAACTTGGAGGAAGTTGGCACCTACCTGGAAATCGAGGAAAACGATATTAACAACTGTTAAATTCTCCGATGCTGAATATCTGAAGAAATTAAAAATAGGCAAACCGCAGAATTAATAGATCTTATTCAAAATTTATTCATATGATTTATAAAATATAATGTTTTAATAGCAGGACAATGTTAAAATATGTAAACTACACTTCATTGATATTACAAATCAAAATTAATTCTTGGGTTTCAGTTATTTATTGTCTTTATTTATCAATTAAAATACGTTTCGGTGTATTTTTCCACCATCAACAGTTTTTACGTGTAGCGTTGTTGCTGCTTTAAGCCTTGGCATACATTTCTGTTGTATGCCAGAAATGGAAATGTATGCCAAGGCTTAAAGCACATTAAATTACTGAAACCCAGGAATTAATTTTGATTTGGAATTGAAACACAGTCAGGAAAGTATATGCAATGATTGATATTACAGGGATAAACCATAGATTAAATTGTAAAAAAGTCGGAAATAGTAGATATTTAAACTTTTACATTTATTCAAGTTCCTTTTTATAGTTTCTATTTCTAAAAAATTAGTAAAAAAATACAAATGTAATAAATATTAAAATTGGGTAGCGCTCTACTTTTTAATAAGCTAAAACTCACTTCACAATCTTTAGAATTAAAACAGAAAATGGCAAATACAGAGTGATTAAACAAAAACTCAGTTTATTTTGGCAATAATGACTCAAATCGAGAAAAAATATTAATATAAAATCAAATAAATTAATATCTCGAAAATACCTATTAAAATTACTTTCTTATAATATTTTAATTGCAAAATGTGCAAAAAACATGTGCAATTTTTACACTGCACAAAATTTTTTCATGCTTAAAGTATATTAATGAAGACAATTCTTTGATGCAAGACGTACAAATTGCCTGACCAAAAAAGTGTCACCAGAGTTTTACAAAGAGAAAGTAGGCAAAAAAGGCAAATGCCATAAGGCCATGGAGTAAGGAAAGTTCCCTTATTCAACTTACTTAGAACTTACAGTAAAAGTTACCATCTCGTTGTAGATTTTCAAAGTAACATTGTATACTTTTATGCCTAAATCTTGTCTGCTGAGTTCTATTCTATATACATATTGTATACCTAAAATCTGGAGGAAATTCAATACACTTGTTCATATTGTCTCTTGAACGCCAGTCAAATATATATCTACTATAATGAACTAAAAATATTACTATTAAAGCCAAGAACGTGGCAACGCGTTTTCAAATTTTTCACTTTCGGTTTAAAGTCCCGCTATGAGAATGTCTCTCTTTATATGACCTCTTGCAGTATCCCGTTGGCGGTCAAGGCAGAATAAAAAGATATTCTTGATAACATTTTAAAATAACAATAAAAAGCGAATTTTCGTTGGTTTAATTTAAATTGAAGTACACTGCTAAAACACATTATGAAGTCACCCACAATCAATTTAAATGTCGGCAAAAGTACTTTACCTATGCCTATTCTTGGCTATGGTACCTGGCAAGTAAGTACAAAAGTAAAATTTATTATTTCAGTTTTTAATAAAAGGTTAATAACATATTTTGTTCGTTTTATTATTACTTTTCGTATTATCGGTCAGGGATAATATCTTAATTATATTCATACTTTGAAATGTTTCGCAATTTTTCGCTTTCTTTGGTCAACGGTTTAAAACAGTAATTTAATTTTTTTATTCAAATCATAAGGCTACAGACAAGGAGTTGGCCGATGCTGTGGAAGCTGCACTTGAAGCTGGATACAGGCATATCGATACAGCCCATGTGTATGAAAATGAAAAAGTAATCGGAGACATTTTGAAGAAATGGTTTGATGCTGGAAAACTTAAACGTAAGTATTTACATTTGCTTTTCGCAAAGAGCCACATCTTTGATTCGAAACTATGAAAGGGAATAAGAAAAAAAAAACATTCTAGGTAGTTTCGTAGGTATTGGTGATGGTTTCTTAATTCGTCCAAATTTCTGTTTTATATGTATATTTCTGAACATCTGACAGTTTATTTTCGATTGTTCAATACACTTTTTGAAAGTAGGTATAAATGCGGCATTTTAAATTGAGATTTGGGGCGATGTTTTTTTGCAACCTACTGGTTTTTTCCAATTTTATATTTTGATGCGCGCAAATTAGTTGGTGGTCGTACTTAAACTAAACAGATTTATCAGAAGAAAACGAATTGAAGACATTTACAGAAAAATTCGCCAAATTTCATAATCAGGTAAAAACTGTATGATTCCATATCAGGAGCAAAGACTTATAATTAGTTTTTGTCAGGAGATTAACGTCCAGTTCATTGTATGATTCATAAATTGCGGAAAATATTTTCTATTATTTAAATGAAGATTATTATGGTAAATCTGTTTGGTTTAAAATAATTCCTTGCGCTAATTACACGGAAAACTGTTTATCTTTCTTAGAATAACTAATGGCGCTTTCTAT